GCTCCCTCCCCAAGCACCTGGGCCCATGCTGCTGAGAGACTCGCCCACCTTCCCCACTGCTGCCTCCAGGCAAAGGAACACGTGTACCTTCTCGTGAATTCATCTGTGAGAAAGCACCACAGCGGTGACTCAGCAAGCGACCTGTGTGTGTGGTGGGATGACGGTTGTGTGGGTAACAGGAAGGGGCTCTACTGCTGCAGGCGCCTGGCGGGCTAATGGGACGCTGCAGAGAGGTAGGGAAGCTTTTGGCTCTCTTTAAAAAACCCAGGTGTTTTTAATATGTTTTTAAACTGATTTTAGAGAGAAAGGGAGAGAGAGAGAGAGAGAAAGAGAGAGAGAGAGAGAGAGAGAGAGAGAGAGAAGTGAGAGAAATATCCATTGGCTGCCTCCTGCACGCCCCCCCTACAGGGGATCGAGCCCATAACCGGGCATGTGCCCTGACCAGGAATTGAACTAGCGGCCTCTCAGTGCACCGGATGATGCTCAACCAACTGAGCCACACCGGCCAGGGCTCCTCTGGCCTCTTGATGACATGTGACTGTCTGTTCTGTTGGCCTCAGGACCCGCCATGCCTGTGAGGTGGCCCTGGCTTATCCCACTGTTCTGTTTCTCACTCTGAGTCTCATGATAGAATATGAGGCCATGCTGATCTGCTGAGAATCCTGTTCTAACAGAAACACGCAAGACCCACCATGTACATAGAAGAGATCAGATTGAAGTAGCCGAGCCTCTACAATCAACCAAGCGTGTGGTTTCAGTTTACACGAGCAGTCGGTACACATTCAGACAGGCTCCCACTGAGCACTGCGTTGGGAGAGCAAACGTCCTGTGAAGCAAGGGACAAGAACACACCAGGCTCCAAGTGCTGCGAGACGGAGCAGACATAAGCCTTAAACTAATCACTGGGAGACTGCGTTCCCACGAGCAGGAAACATGGGTTTGGTTCTGGTACCTGGGGATAAAACATGTGGACAGGGACATCTACAGTGACAGCCCCTGCAGTGCTGGGCCGAGTGGCTGCTGGGCCCATGGCTTTGCATGTGGACTTGCTTATGTTGTCACTCGTGTTGAAGGGCTGCTGCAGAGAAAACCTAGTCGACACATGGGAAAGGGTAGCACTTCTTAGTGAAGGTCAGAAAGGCACTTCAAGGTCATTTTAGTCCAGCGCCCCAGTGGCTCGTCAGAGGCGTTAGAAGCAAACTGTTCTGGGTGGAGAGATGGTCGCCTCTCGGCTCTGCTGGTGGTGCCGGCAAGCTGAGCACTGAAGGCATTTGCTCTTGAAAGTTTCCAGCCGGGAATCCGTGGAGGGACGGGGATGTCTCCATCGTGGCAGGAACGCAGCGTGGTGGCTTGTCCCCTTTCTCTTCAAGTTTTCAAGTCCCTCTAGAAATAGAAACGTGCGTGTTATCTTTTCAGCGCTTTCCGTCATCCCTTCCCCATTAGGATGGAGTGGGCACCGGCATTTTAACCGAGTGAAGCCTCGGCTGTTCTCTGCGATTAACGGGGACAGAGCGGCCTCTGCTGGCGGAGGCTGCCAGCTCCCCACGGACCGCAGGCTCGTGTAACACAGCTCCCTCCTGTGGCCTCCCAGCCTGCCCGCCTCTGTCTTTCATCTCCGACCCAGATGTTTTCCGTAGTTTCCACGTGAACTTCCCAGCTCCTAGCATTATGTTCCTGAGTCCCGGCCTAGTCAGGGCAATTTTGTTTTAAGCCCCAAAGAGACAGAGAAAAACCACAGGATGAAATGATGCTCCAGCAGGCAGTCCCATCCGCTAACACATGGCAATTCCCTTCAAGATGTGTGAGCTCTGGGAAGGCCCTCACATCCATGTTCCAAAGGGGCAACTGAAAATGCAGACCCCTCCTGCCCCCCGCAAAGCTCTCCTGGGAGGGGGTCTTCCCTGGGGACACCTGCAGAGAGACTTGCTAAAGGGAGAGGCTCGCCCAGCCAGCGTGGCTCGGTGGTTGAGCGTCAACCTATGAACCAGGAGGTCATGTTCGATTCCTGGTCAGGGCACATGCTCAGGTTTCGAGTTCAATCCCCAGTAGGGGGCACGCAGGTGGCAGTAAATCAATGATTCTCTCTCATCATTGGTGTTTCTATCTCTCCTCTCCCTTCCTCTCTGAAATCAATTGATAAAAATATATTTACTTTAAAAAAGTGGGGGCGGGGCAAGTCTCACCCTGGCCTTCAGTGGGCCGGAGGCAGCTCAGATACTCTCAGGCATCAAGAGATCCATCTGTCACAGATAAAACGGCTCTCCCAGCGTCATAGAGAGTGGAAGCCGTTTCTAAGCCTGATGGGGAGCCACATGGCTCTACATGTGTTCTCACAGGGGCCCTGAGACCCCGGGCATCATGACACTAGGGCCCCACCCACACCCTGATCACACCCCCTGGAGAAGGGCCCCGGGGGCATCAATGTCCACAAACAGCCAGGGTGAGTCCTGGGCACCCCACCTTAGAGAACCGCAGATTCTGCGAGGCAGCCTGTGCTGGGGCTGGAGTCCTGCTCTGGGGCCTTCGGCAGGTCCCCTCACCTGTAATATGAGGAGGGTCCTAGGGCCTGCCTGCCGGGATGCTGCTGGGACCTCGGGCGGCACCACTGCTAACAGGCTTGCCCACCCCCAGCCTCCTCCACAGCGTGAGGACTGGGAGGTGGTTTCTCCCACTGGCACCTGTTTCAGGCTCAGCTTTCTTTACCAGCAGCTCGTCACACGGACCCTCAGGCCCCTGCGTGCAGCCTCGTGAAGGGCGCTCCTCCGTGGCTTCGTGGGCGAGTTCAGACCTGCTCCTGTTTCCTGCCCTCCACGCACCAGGCCCACACTGCTGTCCGCACCCCAGGCTCCCACTCACGGGCCATCGAGGCCACTGCAGGGCAGGGCTGCTCCTTCCTCCATCTTCTCTGACACTCGGTGAGAGGCTGGTGGGTTTGGACTGAATTTTGTGCTACAGAGCTTAGTGCGGGGCCAGCCTGCCAGTGAACAACCCGCTGATGCTTCCTGAGGGCCTGTCTTCCAGCATTTGCTGCCCTGCCCAGCCCCCCTCCCCCGTGGGCACTGAGGCAGGGCCTGTGGGCACCTGCGGGGGGCGCAGCTCACAGAGCAGGGCTGGGATGCACAGCAGGCTGAGTGCCAGGCCTGGGCCTGGGCCTTACACAAAGGAAACTGCTACGGAACTTCTCACTTCAAGCAAAAATTCCCAAGAAAGACAGGAAATTAACGCCCAGGTTCACATGAAAGGTCTGATGTCCTTCTTAGGCCGTTGTTTCAAGTCAGAGGCGTCTTTAAGAAGGCCTGTGGTCCGCATGGACAGAACGCAGATTGCTGGATGCCAGAGGCGGAGGGAGCGGGAAGGGGCTGATGCTTAGCGAGGCCTTTTTGCAGGAGATGAAATGTCCTGGGACTAGAGAGGTGCACACGGCTCTGTGAGTCGCTAAATGCCGCTGGAGGCTCACTTTAAAACGATTGACTTTATGTCACGCAAACGTTGTCTCGATGAAAGAAAATGACGTCGTTGAAACTGGTCCAAAGCATGATGTGGGGCTCAGAGTCCGAGATCGAGTCAGCAAATATTTGCGGAGTGGCCACAGGTAGAGGTGCCCTGCTTCCCAGGCTCCTGTGCGGCCTGGCCTCACCTCCCTGCAGCCTCCCCACACACACACCTGCTTCCTGTCCCTCTGGAGTCTCCATTCCTTCCTCTGGGGGTGTTCCTTCTTCCTCCCCACCTTCTCCAGGGCTCCCCCTGCCCACCTGTTCCTCCAAGACAGCCTCACTGACCTGTCTCCCTCTCCCAGGTCCCCTCCAGGGAGGCCCCCCAAGCACAGAGCTGCCCAGGCTCCTCCTGGTCAGAGACTCTCCATCCCATCCCTGGCCCCTGGCAAGGTTCAACCCCCTCAGTGGGCAGGGGGGTCCTCCCCGACCTGTCTTGCCCTCATCCACCCGCTATTCCACCCACACACATGCCCACTCTACTTGTCCCCATCCCCAAGGATTCCCTCCTCTCAGCTGCTTCTCTTCCTTTCCCTGATTGGTGGAGGCACGGTCACCCATGTGTGCCCACCCTGCTCACGTCCCACACTCAGGAGCCACAAAGTCACTGCTTGACGAATCAACAACTGATGGCTCACTCCCTGGCCCAGGGTGGTAGAGGGCTGACGGGGACCAGCGGGAGCTGGGCGGGCACTGCACCCACCTCCATCTGCTCGTGAATCCAGTCCAGGAAGGAGGTGATGCGGGTGTAGACGCCGGGCTTGTTCACGTCCGCACAGCCGATGCCGAAGCTGGTCGCTCCCACCAACTTCCACTCCCTCCTCTCCTGGCACACCAGGGGTCCCCCGCTGTCTCCCTAGACAGCAGGCAAAGAGACTAAGGGCCACCGAGCTGGCCCCGGCATGGCTGTCCCTGGTTCTGGCGCAGGATTCCCCGGTCACCGCCCCACAAAGTCCAGCGTGAGGAGGCGCTGCGCTCCCCCGGCAGCCCTTGCGGACCTGAGTCGGCGTCCCTCGCAGTGGGTCCCGTCCCTCTGACGGAGCCCCAGCCATCTCCCAGCAGACACTGAGCCCATGGAGGTCAGGGCAGCTGCGTGCACCCGAGGGAGCTCTCAGAGGGAGGGCCCGCCTGGCCAGGGCCTTTAGCTGACCTCCGGACCCAGGCAGAATTGGGGTCTCACCCACTGTGGCTTTGGAGGCCCCCCTTCACAGGTTCCCACCTGCCTCCCGCCTCTTTGGTCCCCCTGCAAACTCCGAGAACCGGGGTGGGAAGGAAGCATCCCTGAGTCCCCTCCTCCCGCCCAGCACCCAGGCAGAGTGGGAGCTGGTAAACACGGGCTGGCCGGGAAAGGGCGTGCTATCTCGAGCAAACTTCTTCCCCGGGCCTGTAAGTTTGCTCTACGGTCAGTCACAGGGAGATGCCGGCAGTGGCCTCTCCCATGGGCTGGGTCACCGTAACAGCCTCGCCTTGTCCACGGCCACGGCCCCTGGAGGTCACGGCGGGCCCCTACCTGGCAGCTGTCCACTCCGCCTTTCAGGTAGCCGGCACAGACCATGGAGGGGGAGATGATGCCGCCGTACACGTCCCTGTGGTTGCAGATCTTGTTGGAGATTAAAGGCACAGCTGCGTGGTTGAGGACCGGGGAGGCGTCGCCTGTGTCACAGGAAGAGGGGGACGTGCAGTGGGAACTCAAAGGGCACGCATCCGGGGTGGGGACCAGAGCCAGGGGCACGCTACCTACCACCACAGGCAGAGCCATCCGCTTCCCTACACGGACCAACATGGGAGGAGGGAGGAGCAACTGTCACCACCGTGGACCTGCCCGGGGCCTACCCCGGGTCAAGCATTTGATCCACAGCAGGCTGTTTTGTTCTCAGAACAACCCAGGTCACCAGAAGGGAAGCTGCAGCTTGTGAAGGTCACACAGCTCTTGGAGGAATTTGGGGGTGGTCTGCAGAAAAATGTCCTCCCACAGGTGTCCATGGTCCAACCCCCAGAACCTATGACCCTGTCGCCTTACATGGCCACAGGGACTTTGCAGACTGGAGGTGGGGACATGTCTCCAGGGGGACCCCAGGTATAATAACAGGATCCTCGAAAGGGTCAAAGGAGAGTGGGTGATGGTGGAAGCAGAGGTCAGAGAGGAGAGAGATGGAAGGTGCTGTGCTGCTGACTCTGAAGATGAGGAAGGGGCCACAAGCCAAGGAATGCGGCCACTGGAATCTGGAAAAGGTAGGGAGCTGACTCTTCCCAGAGCCCCCGGAAGCGTCGCAGCCCTCCTGACATCTTGATCCCAGCCCACCAAGTCCGATGCAGGACTTCCGGGCCCCACAACCGTGAGAGAATGGGGGTCATTTGTTGCAGCAGCAACAGAAAATTAACGCACCTGCCGTGGATCAGCCTCAGCACCGACCCAAGACTGATGCCCTCTAACTTAACCTGTTGGTAAACCGCATTATCTTTATGCTTTAAAGGCATAAAGCAGGGCAGCCCCGTTCTCGTTCCTACAGCATGTATCCACAGGTGTGGGTCTGCGCGCCCCAAAACCCTCATTTTAACTGTTCTCTGAGTGTGAGTGACAGTGCTCTCTGCACGGGCTTCCCTAATCTGCTCACATGTCCACCAGCCCTGCAGTGAGGACCGCCTGGCCCTGAGCTTGGGCTGAGATGGAACCTGTCCCTACTCGGTACCCAGGACCCAGCGAAGACAGTGAAAGGATCCTCGCTGGGCACTCCAAGTTTATGAATAACAACACGGATAGGGCCGTGGGTGGGGAGCACAAACACAGTCCCAGACCTTCCACCACCTGGTCGTGTGAGCCCCAGCAAGGTGCTCAGCACCTGTCTGCTCCCCTCAAAGTGGGCAGGAGCGGTGCCCGCTCAGGGCTGCTGTGAGCACAGGCAGGACCACATCGCTCCGCTCCACCCCTGGTACTCGGGGAAACAAAGCTCAAAGCATTTGTGGGAGAAGCGTCCACTGTGGGCAGGAAGGCGTGGCCAGCCGTAGGGGCGAGACCCTGCGCTGTGGGGAGGACTGGCCTCTGGGTCTGGGCAAACCCCGGGTGCCTCGGACACTCGGGAGGGGACAGATGCAGCGAATAAGTCTCAAGAGGAAATACTGAACCCCCTCTCCTGGGTTGAATGGTGCCTCCCCCAAGCATGTCCACCTGCAACCTTAGGCTGTTTGGAATCGGGTCCATGCAGGTGTGATTAAGGAAGAGTCTCAAGATGGAACCATCCTGGATCAGGGTGGGCCTTCACTCCACGACTGCTGCTCTTCTAAGAGGAAGGAGCGGGGAGCTGAAACAGGGCCGGGAGGCCATGTGAAGGCCGGGACAGACCGGAGCGATGCCTCCATGGTTCGAGGAACACCAAGGGCGGCCGACTACATTTGTTGGAGTAGTTGACTCGCACCCCCAGCAGGGACATGTGGGTGTCCCACAGAACATCACGTTGGGACATGGGAGGGGGACATGTCGGTGTGGACATCTACCCCAGCCCTCTCCTTCCGGGCTCCCTGGACTCAGAATCTGGACTCCAGGCCACTGACCTCCTTCCTCAGTGGCCCCCCATCCCGACGTCCAGCACATCTTCCCGTCAGGAAAGTTCTCTTCGGAGTTGGGCAGACAAATCGGTTGGACCATCTCTGTTTAAATAGGAAACAACAGCTCTAACATCTGGGCGCTAACCATCTCCCAAGGAAAGGTCAAGACCAAGATCATCTGAAAGCCATTAGCTCAGAGCAGGGACCCCCTCCCCGATCAGACCCCTACAACTTCGAAACAAGCCTAGACCGTGGCAGCGTATGTTCTAGAAAGGGCCAAATGCACCCAGGCCACAGCAGCATAAAAACAGCCACAGGCAGTGGTAAACAAATGGGTGTGGCTGTGTTCCAATAAATCTTTATTTACAAAACAGACCAGGGGTCAAGTTTGGCCCATGGGCCACAGCTTACCCACTCCTGGTCCAGACTGTGGGCACCTGGCTTTACAGAACATCCTTCCATGGGCATCCTGTCCCTCCTGACATACCTGGAGGCCACAGCTCACCTGTCCATGTGGGCTGTGTCACATAAGCCTCCACCAAAGTCAGGGCCACGGCTGTCACGGGGCTTCCATGTGAACACAGTCTGAGATGTGCTAAGCCTTCTGGGTACGCCAATAATGGAAAGGTAGAGAAAGACTACGGGGAGGGTTCGTTTTGATTTTATCCAAGTACCAGCGTTGGCACCTCATTTTTGTATAAATCAAACATCATTAATAATAATTTGCCAACGAGCACCACCATTACAATTTCTCTTTGTTTCTCTGGCAGGATTCGTGTCACGTGCAGTTTTACACGTGCCCTGCGGTTAGCACGCTGCTGACTCTGCAGCCGCTGGTCTGGTGCCAGCGTTCAGCTCCTGGACGGGGCCCTGCTCATCACCCCGCCTGCACCCCACGCTGCTGTACCCCTGGGGGAGGGAGGTTTGATTTGGGAGTGGGCTCATGAGGCTTTGTTTACAGCTTCAAAAAGTTTGAAAGTCTCATCCCTTGTGGCTTTTCTGTAACTTCCACCGGCCACATCCTGACAGCTCCCGTAGAGAAGCAGAGCGGCTCCGTGAGAGGAGTTTTCTGGGTATTTCAGGAGCCGAAGATGCCCAGCATCTTCCAAACCGTAAGGAAGCGGCTGCAGGAAGGACCCGCCACTACCCGCTGGCTGGCCTGGGACTCACTTCCTCTCTTCACCAGGATCAAGACCCTGGGCAGGTGGGTGGCACACGGGCAGGGGACCTCGCCACGACCAGCACCAGACAGAGAAAGCTCTTTATCCCCTCAGACCAGAGCCCCCCTTGCACTCCTAGAGGCACCGGGTGGCCTGGCCAGGGCAAGTCCCTTTTATGCCTAGGTGGCACCACAGGAAGAAAATGGCACCGGTGGGAGCCCCAGGGGACCCAACAAACCAAATTGATCAAAGTAGAACCACAGAGGCTCTGAAATGAAGTTAGCATCACCGCAGCCACAGTGACCTGAACTGGGTGACCACCTGCCGACACTGAAGATGCAGGTCGGACCCAGCGTCTCCTAGCACAACAGCCTGGAGTCCTGAATACGATTGGAAGCGTTTCATCATACCAGGGACCAGGAAAATGCCCACGTTGACGAGAAGAGAGCCGCCTGATGCCCACACAGAAGTGAGTCAGATATTGGGGTTACCTGACAAGGCCTGTAAAGCAGTGTCCTAAAGAGGCCCCCACAAGCAACTACAGATCCTCCTGAAACACATGCGAGCCAGCGAATGACAAGGAAATCCAGACGCACCGTCGAAGGTGAGCGGCCCCGCCAGCTTCATGAGGGCGATGTCGTTGCCCAGCCTCTTGGGCTTGTACTTGCTGTGGTAGATGATTTTCTCCACCAGGTGGGAGGGGGCTGGGCTGTCCAGCAGCGAGACGAGGCCCACCTGGATGGTCCATGACTTGGGGAGGTACAGGCTGCAAGGAGAAGACAGGGAGGTCAAGCAGGGACGTCCAGCCCCTTTCACCCGCGGGGCTCAGGTGTCCCCAGCCCCAGCCCCAGGGAGATGGCAGGTGTGTATGGCCCTGCTGGCCTGTGCTCGAACCCACCTCAGCCCCCTGCCCTGCAGAAGCACAGAGCCCCCCTTCCCCCGATGCGTGTCCTGCAGCGGCCTCCCTCCCTGCACCTCTGAGCGAAGCAAAAATAACAGGGAGCAAAGATAGCCGAGTGTTTTCTGTAGTTTTCTCCTTTGCTCACCTCCCTTGAGGGGGACTCTTTGCCCCCACAACCCTGCACTGTCTCTCACCCTCTCGGCCACCACAGGGTCCACCGTGACCAGCTACAGGGGGTCTAAGACCTTTACGTCGGTGGTTTCCTCCTGTGTGGGAGCGTCCTATCTTTTCTGTGAGAGCCGCGGCCTGAGGTCTCCGCAGCCCACGGTGATGGGTCCACGGCGAGGAGGGAAGATCCCTCCACGTGGGTATGACTTTGGCCCCTTTGCCTGCTCCTGGACCTGCCGCTGACCACCCAAATCCGCCCGGTCCCACCGCGGCCCGGACTGGACCCCTCCCAGGAAGCGGAGCACTCACTCATAAACGCAGTGGGCAGCGGTCACGATCCACACTGGGGTGATGACGGAGCCCCCGCACAGGTGGTAGCCCTGGAACTGAAGGCTGGCCTGCCAGGGCCACTGCGCGGGTGAGGACATGTTTCCGCCCACGATGCGTGCGGTGTAGCCCCTCCTCAGACCGCAGGCTGTCGGGGGAGAACGGGGCTGGGGGTCCGTCCCATAGACCCTCCTCCCCTGGCATCTGCCCCCTCACAGAGCTCACAGCCCCGGAGAGTTCTGGGAGGAGAGGCACACAGTGAGGGGTGGGGACAGGCCCCCCGAGACGTGGGGCGAGTGGGGTGTCGTGGGGGTACAGTGGGGAGAGTCCATCAGAGCAAAGAGCCCGATGCTGGAGGCACCCCTCCCCCAGGTACGCACAGCAGGAGCATGGGGAGCCCCCCACAGCCCCTCCTCACTGACACAGGTGCCCGTGCACCTGCCTGACTCCTCCAGACCCAACCCCTGCAGCCAAACGCTGCCCCTCCGCCCCCACCAGCAAGAAGGACGGCTGCCTGGGGGTGGGTCTGGGGCACTGTCCCTGGAGGGGGTAGAAGGAGGAGGAAGTCAGGCCACTGGAGCCACTACAGTGACAGGACCTCACGCCCAGTCACTCTGGGCTGCCTCCCCCACCTGACAGGTGAGACTGGGCAGACCCTCCTTGGAGGTGGAGTCCACAGACTCCCACAGGGCACCTAGGAGGAGGGGACTCCGAGGAGGAGAGGAGGGGGGGTCAGTGATCGAGCTCTGGCTTCCACTGACCTCTGTGTTTCTAAAACTCTTACCTGTGCACTTCAAGGTGACCACGCGACCCGAGGCACACCCCTCCCTAAAGTGGAGAAAGAGTGGGCTTAGTGACAAATCCCCGAGGCTGTGAAATGCACATTTTTAACTTAATCTTGGGGTAAAAGAAAAATAAACTCTATTCCCCTGCTCTTGAATAGAGAGTGCAATTTTAGCCGGTGTGACAGGCTTCCCTCAAAATGCCGGCAGCGTGAGGACTGCAGGCCATGGGGTGGAGCACTGCTCAGCTCTGCGGAGCTGATGATCAGGTGCACAACGCGCTCTGTCATGCAAACATCTCCCGGGGTCGTTTCCGCGTCACGGTTACCCCAATGTTCTTCACTGGCCCCCGGGGGACGTGGAGTGCCCACTGGACGGGTGGCAGGCTCTCCTGGCACGAAGTCCTTGAACCTGGGACACACACCTGGGCCAGGACTCCTGGAGCAGAGCTGTGACTGCCCGGGCCTGGCAGGCATCCCCCTGCGTGGGTGGGAGTGGCACCTGCTTTTCTCATAATCCACCCGGACCCCTTCCTTACTGTCCTGCTGTCAGAGCCCCAGTCCCGCCATGAAACGGGCTGTCCCTACGGACTGCGTGTGTGCCCAACGGTGCCTGCCAATTACAGGACGGACAGGGTGACAAACTTGTTTCCTGGGGCAGAGGACACACTCCTCCGGGGGTTTGGTCCAGGCACCAGGGAGAGCATCGGAACTGGGGTTCAGAACCCTGACTCTCACCAGGCAGGTGACCCCTCTAAGCTTCAGGCACCGGGTGTCACTTAGGGACACTTCATTTTACCTTCCTCCTGACTTTGAGGAACATGAAATGTACATGGTACATGTTAAAGGACTTTGTGAGCAAAAATGTTTCTTCTTTTTAATTTTCCCTCCCTCCTTCCTTCCCCGAAACACACGGGAGCCCCTGTTGTGTGAGGTACAGTACTGTGGTTAGACGTACGTGCCCGTCACTGTTCCTCCTCCCCCCCCTCCCTTCCTCTGCCGGCCACATTTGCTGGTTTGGGGTTAGGTTCTTGCAGCCAGCGTGCCCACCCACCTAACCACGCGGCCAGCCCACCGTGCCTCGGAGGAAACGCTCCCGGGCCTCTGTGTCCTGGCGGAGCCGCGCACCGCCGTACCGCGGCCTGCCTGGCGCTCACCTCACGTACACCGACTGGTGCAGAGCCGTCACCTTGTCGTCTGGCAGGAGGTGGTTGATGGAAACAAAGTCCTCTTGGAACTGCTCCTCAAGCAAGTCCATTCGGAGGGTCTTTGAACTGACGTAGCTACAAGCACATTGGAAACAGACGCGGCGTGAAATTCACTCCGTGCTCCACACCAACCTGTGCCCAAGTCCCAGGACCACAGGTACCTTCCTGGGGACATAGTGTACCCCCCAAACTGTCATGTACCCACATCACAGGTATCCCACTGGGGACATAGTGTACCCCAAATTGTCATGTACACATGTCACAGGTATCCTACTGGGGACATAGTGTACCCCAAATTGTCATGTACACATATCACAGGTATCCTACTGGGGACATAGTGTACCCCAAACTGTCATGTACACATGTCACAGGTATCCTACTGGGGACATAGTGTACCCCCCAAACTGTCATGTACCCACATCACAGGTATCCCACTGGGGACATAGTGTACCCCAAACTGTCATGTACACATATCACAGGTATCCCACTGGGGACATAGTGTACCCCAAGCTGTCATGTACCCACATCACAGGTATCCTACTGGGGACATAGTGTACCCCCAAACTGTCATGTACGCATGTCACAGGTATCCTACAGGGGACATAGTGTACCCCCCAAATTGTCAATGTGCCCAAGTCACAGCATCACAGGTTTCCTACTGGGGAACATCGCCATGTTTCCCCCAATAATCAGTGTGCCCAAATCGCACTATTACAGGTACACCAGGGGGATGTCACTGTGTCCCCGAAAACCATCAATGGTTTCCTTTTGCCAACTCATCAAGGCATTCCATTCTAAACCTGGTGGAGTCTGGAACGGAGGGCCCTTCTGGCTCCACCCATGAGCATAGGCTCCGGGCACCTGGGCGGGAGGGCCAGTTCCTGATGCAGCTGGGTGGGACCCTGACACATTCCACTGCACAGACCTCTGGTTGGCCTGAAGCCAGCTCCAGAGGGAACAGAACATAGAACTGGGTGGGTGCTTCAGGTGGGCACCAAAGTCGGGATGCCGAGCACCCCAAGAACAAGAGGTCGGGGAGAATAATTTCCCAGTCTGCCTAGAGTGGGCATGGGTCCCTGTCAGAAAGATAAACACATGGGAGGAAGAGCGTCAGGGGACACCAGCAGCAAGCACATGGTGAAAGTGTCAGGAAACAGGCCTCTCTGGAGAACAATGGTAAAGAAGGTCTCAACTTTAGGAGTGTGTGTGTGGGGGGGGGGGGACTTGTATCTGTGCTTGTTTACAAGGAGGAAAGTCTACAGGATTCTTGTAGGCACTTGAGTGGTGGTGTTGGCTATTGTTGCTGAGCTGGAATTGCAGCTGATTTCTGAGTCACTGGGGAGATGGAGACAGACCTCAGGGGTATAGGCTGGAGGGCCTCTGGGGTTTCATGGAGAAAGGAGCTAAGAAAGGAGCTATGATGAATCAAATTTGAAATTGGAGGGTCCTGGAGGATTCAGAGCAGTGAGCCTTAACCACCCAGCTCGTTTCCTGAGATACAAACAGGGATGTGTTTTCAAGGTCACCCCTGTCGCCACGCTCACTTCCTATGTGGCATGTGTGACTCAGGAGCCTGCCTGCTTTGAGCTCAGAATCAAGAGCAAAGAGAGGAAGGTGACATGCAGGCTCCCATGGAAGACGGCAGTTATCGCGTCAAAGGAAGGGACAGGAGAGAGAAAGAGGCCCCTGCACCAAGGAGAAAATGTGTCATTTTAGTGGAAAAAAAAAGTCACACAACAACAGCAAACATCGAAAAGTGAAGCTTTCACTACAACAGTTCTTTCTCCTACACATTGCTAGGCAACCGTTATGAATACTTGTGTTTTCACCAAACTGCTGACTTTTTGCACTTGGTTCTCTGGGGCTGCGTGGGAGTGTGTGCAAGGATGAGGGTGTGACCCCCAGGACCAGGAGGGGTGGTGCCGGAGGCTGCTCCATAGCTGAGACCTGGGGCGCTAGCGGGTGGGGTTGTCCTTATCTCTGAATCTCTTTATCACATTACCACATATTTGCACCTGAGTCTCTCCTGGCCCTGAGACACTTCCCGAAATGCCATTTCCTGAGTGATGTTGAGCACCACTTGGTGTGCCGGGGCCTCGGTTTGCACACCTTGAAGTGGAGAAGGTGATGGCCGTCATCATGGGGCTGCCACGAGGGTGCAATGTGAGAGGAGATGCAGCCCTGGAAACGCCCACGTGGTTGTCTCACCGTGACCACTATTCATGTTCTACCCGTCACCTGGAGGTGCTCCTTGTGTTACCTTGGAAACCCCAGCTGGGCACAGGCGATGCTAGCGTGGTGGCCTTTCCAGTCGTCGGAGCACATGGTCCTCCAGGCCGCCTCTGTGAACACCTGGAGCACGCCATTCTGACCGCTCACGCGGACTGGCCGGCGCCCGAGAACAACAACCCGTCAGTGGCCAGCAGAGCCCTGAGGCCGCCGCAGAGATTTCTCTGCAGCCAGCCCAGACCCTCCTCTGCTGAGTCTGACCTGCTCCTTGCCCACAGCGCCCCACCCTCACAGGGACCCCCGGCTGCCTGGACCCCCTGAACTCTCTTGGAGATCTCTTATCGCTCATGGGGTCTCCTCAACCCAGTTTAAGCTTCAGGGAACACCACCACCCTTAAACCCAGCCCAGGACCTCCTGGGGGCCCGTTGGATTGCAGTTGAGAACATAATTTGACACTAGCATCAACTTGGACCCATTTCACAGATGGGAAAGGCGAGGGCCCAGTGGTGCTAACTTCCTCCTGTGTCTACAGTGAAGAGGCAGGACCTTACCACATCGGTACTCATCCTCCCCGGCTTTGCAGTCTGAGACACCGTCACACCGAGCCGTGAGTTCAATACACTTAAAAGACGACCGGCACCTGTACTTTCCGGAACAGTCGAAGTGGACTGAGGGCAGGAGAAGACGGGAACATTAACAGAGGGCTCCCTCAGTGTGCAGCACAACAACTACCCACCTGCCCCAGGCCCTTGAGCTTGCCCATCAGTAATGAAGCACCACTGAAATTGCACCTGTGTCACAGCCCAGTTTCTGTTCCAAATTCCAGGGGGTGGGGCTGCTGCACCCCACTCTGTCTCACTAAGTGGCCTTGAGCCACAACTGGAGGTGAACTTAGACCAGAGAGGGCTCAAGGTCAGGAGAGAAAGTGCATGTCAGCAGACCAACCAGCTGAGCCAGCTGAGCAAGGAGCCCTGAGAGAGGACTCTTCGTGCACTCCCCCACCCCCCCCGCAATTGGTCCACCTCCTGTTGTCTGACTCTGGGCAGCGAGTGAAGAAACTGCGGACCACACAGCCGAGCAGGTGGAGAATTACACTCACCTGTATTCCAGTATTTGAAAGAGAAACTGGGATATTGTTCCCTGTGAGAGACCATCCAAATGACTCACTTTCCCAAAAGCCACAAGCACCTTCTTTTAAAAATAGCAGGCGTGCTGGGCCTGGCCTGAATGGCCTCCTTGTCTTCTCCCCCAGCCCCGCACCCGCCTCCTGCCTGTGGATTCTATTTCATCAGGTGCCTGTGGACACTTCTAACTGGGCAGGTTCTGTGGTGACAAAGCCCCGAGCGTGGCCAACAGCCCCTGCTGGGCCCCAGGCTGGCTCTACGTTCACACAGGCAAGTTGAACTCAAAGCGGGCAACCCCAAAGGATGTTTGCCTCCAGTAATTAAGGCTGGGTGGCTGGCGGCACCACGATGGGGGAGGGGGGAGCTCATGAAAGTTTAAGTGCCTGGATAGGGAGTTGAGAGCCTACTGAATAATAGATCATACTCACCGCCCAGACCGATGGCCAGCGCTAGTATCAGTGCGATGACCCCAATGACGATGATTGGGAAGAACTTCAACGGCAACAGAGACAGGATCTGTGCGGCCACTGCATCCGCATCTGAAAACCCAAAAAGGGGGAGGGGGCACAGAGCAACAAATTTGAATAAAAGGAAACTTAAAATTTCACTTCATTTTCCCGCCCTCAAATGCAGAGAATGTCCCAGTCAGAGAAAGTTGCCTTCATTTAGGGAAGGGCCACCAGCCAGGGCACATTCTCTGGAAGTCCAGCCCCACACTCTCCAACCCTGACCCAATTCTGTTCATCATAGGTTAAGAGATAGTGTTATAGGTTGAATTGTGTATCCCAAAACAAATACATTGAGGTTCTAACCACTTGGACCCCAGAATGTCACCTTTTTCAGAAATAGAGGTAGTGAAGTTCAAATGAGGACATTAGAATGGGCCCTAATCTGTCTGGTGTCCTTACAAAAAGGAGGAATTTGAACACAGTGGCAGACACACACACACACACACACACACACACACACTCACTCTCACACACACTCACTCACACACACACACACTCACTCACACTCACACACTCACTCTCACACACTCACTCACACACACTCACTCACTCTCTCACACACACACACACTCACTCACACTCACTCTCACACACACACTCACTCTCTCACACACACTCACTCACACACACTCACTCACACTTACACACTCACTCACACTCACTCTCACACACACACACTCACTCACACAGGGGATGATATGAAGGGACATAGGGAGAGGCCATGTGAAGGTAAAAACAGAAATCAGGGTGATTCATCTTCAAGTCAAGAAAGACCAAGATTGTCAGCAAAACAAAACACCAGAAGCCAGGAAGAGGAAAGGAAGGGTTCCCCTGCAGGCTTGAGAGGGAGCATGGCCTTGATTTCAGACTCTAGTCTCCAGAATGGTGAGATGATATTTCTGTTGTTTTGAGCCACCTACTTTGTTTCGTTGGCCTGAGGAAACCAAAATGAAGGGAAAGTAGGGCACCAACTTTCAAGGACATTTTCCCACAGACAAGGGTGATGTGTACAATCCACACGGGGTACTTTCAGGAGAGGGAGAGCTGGGACCTCTGGGAGGGCCACCAGATGATGTAGCAGGACCATTCTTCACGGGTCTTGTGCACAGAGGCCCCGATGGCCTTGGTTCCAGAGCGACTTTCCGAGGATGTTGGCAGAGCAAACAGCCTTAGAAGATAGAGACAGTGTTTCTCTGGAGCAAGGGATGGGTTTATTGACTGTGCAGCTTAATAAATATAATGTCTTCCTTTGAGGCAAAGCTTGTGCAGGTCTGCTTACAGTCCATTATAAAGATTCCGGTTCCCTTCGCCGGAAACCTTCGCCGTGGGTTCCTCAGCTGTAATGCAGACCCACTGTGTGTGCAACTTACGCCTGGGCTGCTCCACATCACCTCCATGGGACTTGGTGGGCAAGAGCACCAACTCAAACAGGATGTAGGTGCCACTTGTGCTGTGAGTAAGACTTTTCTTGAATTCTGCCAGCATCCCTGGAACTGTGGCAGGCTGACTTGATAGCTTGTACCAGACCCTTCCCAGCTCTTGCTACAGTACCAGGCAGATTGGGTGGAAGGAGATGTGAAGAGCATTAAGATACCCAGAAGTATGAGCCTCTCTGCACAACCAGGAGGATTTCCAGGGCTCCCTTTACACTCAAAGGAACAGGCCATTTTAGGCAAATTATCTCATCAATCCTGAATATCCATGCACGCCCAAGTTGTCTTCCCTTAATTTAGGAAGGTTGGAAAGGAGGAAGTGAAGAAAGCCTCCCAAGAGCCATGCTATCACTCAGAGACCACCCATGCCTCTCTTCTCTGGTCTTGGAGACGCTGAGCCGAGAGGTGTTCCGTGAAAGAGCCAAGAAGGTCTCCCCCCACCTATCTTTGGAAAGACACAACTTCACTTTCTGGCAATCGTATGATTAGAAAATGGGGCACGTGCAGGAGGCAACCAATCAATGATTCCCTCTCATCACTGATGTTTCTAGCTCTCTCTCCCTCTCCCTTTCTCTCTGATATCAATAATTCAAGGCAGTCTTAAAAAGAAGAGAATTTAAATATGGGGGTGGGAAGAAAAGGGGGATTGGGAGAAAAAGGAGGAGAGAGCAAGCAAAAGAAAAGGATAAGATGGAAAACAGACGCAAGGGAAATAAGGACACACGTGCAACATATAGTCCTAAGTGACCATGGGGATAGAGCGTGAGAAAGGAGGGGAGACAGAGAGACAAACCCAAGCTCTTTGCTTTGGCCTGGATGAGCAGGCAGTTTGTTCACAGTTGCCGTCTCGGCACCTAGGACAGCCCCTGGTGCTGGTAGTTCTTTTTGTTTTGTTTTTAATGTTTATTGATTTCAGAGAGGAAGGGAGAGGGAGAGAGAGAAACATCAATGATGAGAGAGAATCATTGATCAGCTGCCTCCTGCAAGTGCCCCACTGGGGTTCAAGCCCAGAACCCGGGCATGTGCCCTGATCAGGAATCAAACCATGACCTCCTGGTTCATGCTCTATCACTGAGCCACCATGGCCAGGCCCCGGTAGTTTCTAATAAATAATAGTAAATTGGATGGATGGATGGATGGATGGATGGATGGATGACATCATGATAACGAAGGTTGTTTTCTCAGGGTTAGGGACCAGTTCCTTTCAAGGCAACAAGAGCATGGTCTTGAGTTAACAGAGCAGAAGCCTCTTGGCCACCCGCCCCCACCCCCCAGAAGCCTGCACCAAGTTAATGTCTGGCTCCTGCTGAGATGCCTTCAATCCATTTACAATTTAAAAGTCAGCAGAACCCCAAGAATGACCTCATATTATTCCAGTTGTTCTCTATCTAAGAGTTAACTTAGGACATGAATCCAGATTGTGGAGTCAACGGTTGTTCAGTTAGAACATTTGTACCGTTCACATTGGCCCCTTCACTGCTCCACCACAGAGCCCTGTGGGCGCTACCATGGCCCCACTCCCCCTTCTTGTTCTGTCTTTGAGAACATGCTTAGAAGAAAAAGCAAATGCACAACATCTCTCCAAAGAGGAATGCAAATAATAAACAAGCATAGAAAAATTTCAACCTCTCTGGAGATGAAAAAACACACAAATTATACACAACTACCTATCAACTTCCCAATCCATTATTATTGTTATTATTATTATTCTCACTATAGTCCAAAGTGAAAGAAAATGGACCGCCAAGTATAGTCAATAGGGGTTTGCAATATGTAAACTTTTTGACAAATTTGAAATATGTACCAAAAGTTTAAAAATGGATGGAATTTTTGACCTAGTAAATTCAGTCCTAGGAATTTACCCTAAGATGTCATTATAAATATACACAAATATCTACCTACAAGGATACTTAGAGGAGTGACGTTTATAATACACGGGAAACAGCCTAAATGAGCAACAGAAGAAACTGGTGAAATAACAAATGGATAGAGACAAATGAATGATGAGAAACAAATGAATGATGGAGAAGGGCGTTGGCAAACTTTTTCTGTAAAGAGCCAGATAGTAAATATTTTAAACTTATTAGCCATTTGGTCTTTGTTACAACTACTCAACTCTACCATGGCATGAAAGCAGCCATAGACAATATGTGAATAAATGGATGTGTTACAATAAAACTTTATTTGTGAAAACAGGCATTGGGCCAGATTTGGCCCATGGGTCATAGTTTGCTAAACCCTGAAGGATATTTAATTAGTTAATGCCACGGAAAAATAAACATGATATTGTTCAGTTAAAAAGAAAAGCTTCAAAATGGTACAAAGAGTATATGTCACTTCCAAGGGAAATAGAGATACGTTGAAAGAAAAAAGGCAAGAAATCCTACCAAGAGTGCTAATAGAGTTACCCCTGAGTAACGGTAAAATTGTGGGCAACTTTCAAAAGATCTTTTTGATTAACTGTATTTTCTAAATTTCTATAATGAACAATACATTGCTTTATTGAAAATGAAACATTTTAAATAGCTTTTGTTCCTTCCCACTACTGGGAATTCATCATGAGGAAATAATCAAAAATTAGCATAGAGATATATGTATAATGCTATTCATGTTCATATTATTTATATTATAAAAACATTAGAAACAACTACATGTCAAATGATGTTAAAATGGCTATGTAAATGACACATATACTTGATGGAATGTTGTGGAGCTATGTCAAAAAGCATTTATAAAAACCAAAAGCACATGGGAAAACGCCTTCTGTCGGCTCCATGAGTGAACACGTACTTACAGGCAAGGTCAGCAAGAGAATGAATGTAGACCTTGAAACCAGGTAAAACTGGGGGATCAGGTGATTGCAGGGTACTTTTAAAAGCTACATTTATGTTAATTTGGGAGAAGAAAGTAGTTTTAAATTGTGTGTCTTTTCTTTTACTTGGAATCTCTCCTCCCATCTCCCATCCTGTCCACTAACCCCCAACATCAATTGTGGTTTAAAGGGAATCAGTAGGGTAGCCCCTACTCATGCTTTCCGGAACCTCAGCCAGAGCCCCCAGGGGTCCCCTTCACAGCCCCTGAGGCCAGAACTCCTACCTGCATCCAGGACCAGCGCACACAGCGCACTGTGACAGATCCTGACAGACTGACCAGAATGAGCCTCTTTGGAGAGGCGCTAGGAGCCCACTGTTTCTCCACATATTTGTAACTTGTTTACAACTCCAACTGCTCTGTTGCTGGGAGCGACGCCATTGCCTGCTGTTGGAATTTAATCTAAGCCTCTAATACTTTCAGAGATGCCCATCCTATTTTAATTTTCTGGAAGGGTTGGTGAGCGCAGGTTCTCAGGACTTCCTGAAGGGCTCAGGGCCTGGCCAGGATCCGACCCCTAAATTCCAGGGGCGGTTAGAGCCTCCATTCCTGAAACTCTCCATCAGAGAATGCAAACCCCCGTGTCCAGGGAGTCCGCAAGGGGCTGAACAAAACAGCCCCTCGGACACCCCGTCTGTAAACTACAGAACCACATGCGTTCAGTGTAAGGACTCCTGGTGAGGTATTTCCCCAGAGGGACACTCAGCCGCAGCCACATTTGTCATCTAGATGGGGGCGGGGAGGGAAAGGGAGGGCAGGGTCGTGCAGAAACCACACCTGGTTCCACCTACCTGGTGTGACAGGACTTATTTTCAGGTCATCGAGGCCAAAAAGGGATCTGAAGGAGAAGGGGGCTTCGGCGGCGGGCGGGTCGTTCTCCCCCATGGTGACTACTTCAGGGCCTCTGAGGTTCGGCTCCACCTCCACCTCCACCTCCTTCACCAGGAAGAACAGAAAGTGTTTGCTTCCCTGTTTATAGTTTCAGCCTCAAATGCATCTTGGTTGTGTCCAATCTTTGAAATCTGACAATCCTCATCAAGCAAATTCAGCACCGATTAATCAAAACTATTTCTCTGGTGGGCACGCATTGTTTCCTAAGCTACAACGGATAACAGAGAAACCTCGGGAGTTAGCGAACAACAATGAACTTAATTCTGCTAAAATAACAACTTTCGCAATGCTCGTCCGACCAATCTTAAAACCAACTGAGTGCCCAGCTTTAGAGATACGGCCTTTTGCCATTTAAAGGTTAGCGTTCCAGAATTTCACAGAAGATAAATTACTTTCAAAGCACATCCCTCCTCTTTTATCATGGCTGTTCGTCTCACATAAACTCAACCCTTTGCCTGCACATGTGATAAGTCTATACAGACATAAGAAGTTCTGATACTCACATCACGTCCGAGCCCCTCAAGTGTCAACGGCCTCGGGGAGGGGACACTGGCCCACAGTATTTGTAGCTTTCCTGGCTCTCACAGCCATGACCTAATTAAGGATGAAAGTATCCGGGCCCTTGGGGTGCCCGGTCCCCGCCCCACTCTCATAGCAAAGGGCGGAGTGGCTGGCACCAAAGCTACACTGGGGCTCTGTTTCTTCCAGGAGAATTCCTCCTATCGCAGGGCCCCAGAGGCCGGAGCCTTCGGAATTCATTCCCAGTAACTCCTCCAGGGGTGGAGGGAGCGAGGGAAGGGCCAAGTGTCTCAACCACATCGCAGCTCCCGGCCCCAGGCAGCTGGCGTGACCGCTCAGCTCACCAAAATCCAGAGGTCCCGACAGGCATAGGAGCATAGACCCTTAGGGCACCTGTCTTATTTCCTTTTCGTTTACTGTTGTCATGTGTGCAACTCAAAAAGGAACTGTTAAGCCATATAAAGCGGACTTTGTCTTCATGCTGTTTCATGTGCTCACAGGAAAACCTAAGCGAGACTGTGCGCTTAAAAATGTTTCTCTCATTCCCACCGTAAGAGGAGCTTTGAAGAGCATCTTAGGAAAGTAATGCACTCACAGTCAGCATCTTTGACTATGATTCTGGCTGATACTGGCTGGTTAGCTGTCAGCATGTAGCAAATGGCACAGCTTAATTTATAACAAGAAGAAGAATAAAGGCTCACATGCTTCCTGCAACCGGGAGCCCAGGTGAGGAAGTCCCTCCCCAAACACGCCATGGCGGGCAGGTGTCACCACATGGAGGAAGGCAGAGGCGCCATCAGTCCGCAGCGTCTCCTCTCCCCACCACCCACTTCACTCACCATTTCTGGAGCCGCCATCATGAAAGGCACAACTAATTTCCTTTTTCATTATAAAAGCAAGCGGAATGGTGAGCCGGCGGCCAACGGGTTACTCCAACCGGGAAATATTTCCAAGTCACTCAGCCTTGTCGACTCAATCGTCACAGCAAATGGCATGGTCGTGGGCGACGGTGTAACCCAACCTGCGTGTGGCTATCAGGTGGCCATCGGCGGCGTGACCGCGGGGACCAGGGCGGGGGGAACGTGGCTGCCCTTTAATTAGTAAGTAAGGTAAGTAAACCTTTGCAGAACCCTCACGTCAGAGAGCCATTGGAATGCAGGCTCTCCTTTTACTTAAAAGAGCAGGGAGGTCTGCCCAGTGCTGAGCAAGCGCACCAAGAGGCAGGTGAAAGGCTCGATGGGGGTTTCTGTCTCCCCATGTGACTGAGCCCAAGGGTAGACTTGAAGCTGCTCCGAAGACAAAAGGCAGGGAGGCTGACGGGTCTCACAGCCAACTTTCCACAGAGACACTGCGCCTGCCGTTCTGGGGGCCTCTGTGTCCCAAGGGGTTTCTGCACACAATGGGGCTTAAAGATGTGTTATCGGGAGAGAAAGGGCCCTGCCGCTCTGGGCCCGGTGGATGTGAAAGGTGCACTCGTTTATTCACAAATATTCATGGGCCATCTGCCATGAGGCCAGGCATCTAGACTCAGAGCAGGTGGCAGAGGGATCAGAGCATCCACCTGTGGTCTCAGGTGGTGACAGACGCTAGGAAGGGGTGAGGCTGGGAGAGGCTCAGTGAGGGACGGGGCAGGGTGCGAGGAGGAAGGCCTCTAGACAGAGTGATGTTTCATGAAAGACCTCGGCCATGTATCAAGTGGGTCTTGTGAGCTACGAGGGGAGGTTGTTCCAAGCGTGGGACCATCAACGCCAGAGACGCAGAACGGATGAGCTGGGGGTGTCTAAGAAACCCCAAGAAAGCCCATGTGCTTGGAGAGGCCAGTGGGCAGTTCATGGGGCCCAGGCCATTGGAAGGAAGGACTCTGGTTGATTTCTTTGTGGTGGAAAACGGGGAGGAGCTGAGCAGGGCAAGGTCGGGGTCTGAGCATGTGCACTGAGTGCAGGGGCGGGGTGGGGTGGGGCAGGGTGGGATTGGACACAACAGAGAGCCTAAAGTAGGCTGCTGAAAACCTCCGCCACCATGGCTGTGAGTTGGCCACGGTCCTAGCGGTGCAGATGGAGAGGGCTGGATTTGCGGTTGCTTTGAAAGCAGAATTGGCAGGAGTTGCCATTCGTGGTTTCATTTCGTCTTGTTTTCCTGCTCTAGCACCTGCCCAGGCACCTAGCTGTGTCTTCTGGGTTTAACACAGATCATCCTTCAAGCTCATAATTCCTTCTTCACATCTTTCCTAACTATGCTCTCTGTTCCCTGAACAAACGTTTAATTTTTCCCTGTTGCTCTTGAAAGATAACTGTTCAAGCTAAGAAAAGGGATTCAGCTAGATGGGTATTTCCTGGTTTGTATAATTAAGCTTTTCCTTTAAAGGAGAATTTTACATTTTAATATGTTATAAGCACAATTGCTCAAAAAGTGGTTTATCATTTAGGACAGAAAAATATATTTGAGTAGAGGCTATATTTCAGACCCCAAATCTAATTTTTTCCCTCTAGGGAACAAGCTTTGTCTATTTTCTGACTTTCACATTTAAGCTATCAAATTCATTTGTTCATGAAATTATTTCATCCTTTAAATTTCTCAAAGAAAAAAGATATTATTTAAAAATATAGTTAACTTATATTTAAAGGTGAAATGTTGAAACCTCTTCCTCTGAGATGGAGAATAATACAAGGAGATTCACTATACGTATACACTATGTCTAGTCAACATTTGGAATCCAAGCCAGTGCAATGAAATCAAAGAGGAAGGAAGGAAGGAAGGAAAGAAGGAAGGAAGGAAGGGTGGAAGGGCAGAAGATAAAAAAGAAGAAAAGAAAGGAAAAAGAAACTTTAAAAGAAAAGAATATAGCCGAAACCGGTTTGGCTCAGTGGATAGAGCGTCAGCCTGCGGACTGAAGGGTCCCAGGTTCGATTCAGGTCAAGGGCATGTACCTGGGTTGCGGGCACATCCCCAGTGGGAGGTGTGCAGGAGGCAGCTGATCGATGTTTCTCTCTCATCGATGTTTCTAACTCTCTATCCCTCTCCCTTCCTCTCTGTAAAAAAATCAATAAAATATATTTAAAAAGAAAAAAAGAAAAAAAAAGAAAAGAATATATACTGCTAATAAATAAACAAACTATCATTATTCATAGACAAAATTATTTTTGGACATTATCTTAAAAATTCTAAAGATAAATGATTAGAACTGACAAGTAAGTCAAGCAAGATTTTTGGATACAAGTTCAATGTAAAATTATGTTAAATCAATAGTATTTTTATTTATCAGCAACAAAGAATTCAAACATGAAATTTTAAAAAGATATAATTTACAGTGGCATCAAAAATGACCCAACACCTCAGAATAACCCAATTAATACTGCAAGACCTATCACATAAATTTCGATAATAGAATTTAAAGAAAATAAAGACCTGGCAACTCTATGCCAAGAAATCTGACTTAGACAAAATGGTCACATTCTTTGAAAAAACAACTTAATACAACGGATACAAGGAGAATACTCCTATATCTATTAAATAAATTAAATTCATAATTTAAAACTTCTGAACAAAGAAAATTCTAGGCCCAGATGACTTCACTGGTAAATCCTTTCAAACATTTAAGAAAGAAGTTCTACCATCTTACAAAAACTCAGAGAATTGGGAAGGAAATACTTCCCAACTCACTTATGAGGCCAAAATAATGTTGATGCTTAACGTGACCCACTGTCCTCATACGCCTGGAACCGAGAGGGGTCCTGTGATGGGCACTTTCAGGGCCAAGACCAGGAAAGTCACAGAAAAACCACAATGAGTTTAGCCACTAACCCCTAACAAGGGAATTACAAGAAAGGAAAACAGCAGGCCAAGCTAATTCACAAACATTGATGCAAAATTCTAAACCAGGTATTAGCAAATGAAAGCCAGCCCTCCATGCAAGGCTAACATTATGAATAAGGTTTTATCTTATGTTTTTTATTGTGGTTTCAATTGACATTTTCCTGGCGACTAATAATGTTGAATATCTTTCACACCCTCATTAACCACTCATGTATCTTCTTTTGTCAAGTGTCTATATAGATCTTTTGCCCATTTTTAAAGTGGATTGTTTTCTTATTATTGATTTAAGAATAAATGTGCAAAAAAAAAGAATAAATGTGCACACAATATACATATATATATATATATATATATATATATATATATATATATATATATAAAAAATGTTATACTAGAGGCCCTATGCATGAAATTCATGTGGCCGGGGGGGGAGGGGGGGGCGGGTCCACTCAGCCCAGCCTTCACCCTCTCCAATCCGGGATCCCTTGGGGGATGTCCAACTGCCAGGGATCAGGCCTAAACCGGTAATCGGACATCCCTCTCACAATCCTGGAACACTGGCTCCTAATCTCTTAATCGCTCACCTGCCTGCCTGCCTGGTCACCCCTAACTGCCCCCCCTGCCAGCCTGATCACCCCTCACTGCCTCTGCATGCCAGCCTGATCACCTCTAACTGCCCCCCCTGCCAGCCTGGTTGCCCCTAACTGCCCCCCCCCTACTGGCCTGGGTCGCCCCCAACTGCCCCCCCTGCTGGTCTGGTCACTCCACACAGCCTGCTGTTCAGTCATTTGGTCGTCCCTCACCAACCCCCCTGCTGGCCTGGTTGTAGGCAGCCATTTGTGAGGGTGTGAGGGTTAATTTGCATATTACCTCTTTATTATATAGGATTACATTCTGGATATGCTGGATACAACTCCTTTGTCAGGTGTATATATGGTGATATTTTCTGCCAGTCTATGGCAGCATTTTTATTTTCTTTTTTGGTGTCTTTCAAAGAGCAGGCCAGGGATGCTACAGTGCAGAAGGGTGCAAAGAAGGGCCCAGCCCAACCTACCAATAGCTCCAAGGCTGAGCAATTCTGCTCTTGAACTTACCAGGATCCCAGGAGCTCCCCTGCCCCCATCCCCACCCAGCCTCCTACTTATCTCTTCCGTCCCTAGAAAAGCAACCACTCTGCTAGCTTGTACATCAGTTTTTGAACCTTATATAAATACAACCATATAGCATGTGCTCTTTGGTCCAAAATTATGTGTGTGAAATTAATCCACATAATTGTTTGTAGCCATAAGAAAAACCAAACAACCCATTTTAAAAAGGCCGAAGACTTGAAACAGGATCTTCCACAAAGAGGTCACTTACGTGGCCAAATTGCCTGTCTCATGGTGCTCAAGTGTCATGGCCATGCAGGGAAATACAACTTAGAACCACAGTGAGATACCACTACACACCTCCCGATTGGCTAAAAGTGAAAAGACTGCCAATATCAAGTGTGGACAAAGAGCAACCGGAGGAATGCTCACCCACTGCTGGCAAGAGGCACATGAACAACCCGCCTTGTAAAACCGCTCGGCACTTTCTAATGCAGTGCGGACCTGTCCTGTGAGCCAAAAATCCCTCCCGTGGGTAAGTACCTAACAGAAATGTACCTCGG